TTAGCCTCGATGCTTAAACTTCATCCATACCAGTGTAGGCGAGTCAGATCAGAAAGTTTCGGAATATTCTAAGGTCATCGAATGTAGAAACATTTTATTTTCGACAAATGTTGCTTTTGTCAACTTAGTTTAAAATAATGAGAAGATGTGGCGATCGTATGGTACGTAATGGACCTTCATAGTGTTATCCAATGCGACATCACATAGTGATTGAAGAAGGTTTAACCGATGTGTCCGTATCGTCAAACCGTTTAACTCATCTCTTATGTCTTCAGCATTTTCAGTGAACCAGTTTGCAAGAAGAATTAAAAATACTTACCTTTTGGAATTTCTGAAGATCTCTTCCAGCTGGGTAACAAAGGGACTGTGTGGTGGAAGAAATCTAATTTAATTGTTGGCATGTAACTGCGCATACAAAACCCTCAAATGAATGGGTAGATAAAAGCAACTGGAACACCCTGTTACTCAGTGGCGATTGACGTCGAGCCGCTTGACAGAAGCCCATTTCAAAAATACCAATTAATTTTTGTGTGATATTCATATTTCGAGATACCGGCGACATGCGAACGTGCCGTTATGTTTAAGTTGGGTTCGTTTCTGGACGGGAGGCTTCGAACGGCTTTACGGCCTACTTTGGATCGTCCATAGCTGCGACAGCAACATACGTTGTAGTTGTCAATATACAACCTCGGTGTTGCGTTGTCCAATCGCTGTAACCAATCGGCATATTCCACTAGTTTTACTTTGAGAGTTTCCGAATTCCATTCTACGGATGGATGGTCAGCTTCTTAACCGAATTGCGATGTCCATCCAACAATCGATGAATCGAATTCTTGTTGATAGATGTGACCGGGAGTTCCTTCTCTATTCCTCCTGTTAACATCGACAACATCACACAAATGCTCGTTGAACTCGTCGTTGTATAAGATTCAGATTTCAGTGTTATTTCGCGCCCCTTGGCTGTATCAGCACATGCTTGATCTTATTGCCGAGGCGTTTTGGAACATATTTCAAATCATCGCCTCTGCGTGAACATTCAATTACTCTCCGTCGGTCTTCCGCACTGGTGAAGCGATAAGGCCTTTTCTGTTCATCCGATTTACCGTTCTCTATATTGCAGATACTTATAACGGGAGATAAGGAACAATAAATACTCCCGCTTCCTATCGTAGTGTGATTTTTTAGCCCCATTACTGACAAATCGAATGCCCCATGATCGTAATACAGAGGAAATCTTAAATGCGCTACTCTTGTGAGTAAAAATCTTAAATGTACCGCAAAAGGTACACTGATTTGCATTCACAAGCACTGAAGTAAATCAAAAAGTGATACCACAAAAACGTAAATGCTTACCGTTCCGTATTTCTACTTAAAGTAAACTCCGCTCTTGAAATGTGGATATATTAACATTCCAATGATAATAAGCACCATTCAGAAACTACACCCATCATTATCAGTTTGTTATTGCTGTAGCAATGGACATAACAACCCCGGACGAGGCTTCATAATTACTGGTTTTGTCCAAAGCTTGATGAGACAATGTGTGATAAACCGGGTGTCTTTTGTGCACGGTGTTTATTATCCTCTGCCTGTATCCACATCTCAGGAACGGAGTTTCCCTTAGGCGAATATACGGAACAGTACGCATTTACTTTCCTGTGTACGGTTTCTTTTTTATCTCTTTATTTTACTTCCTTTTATTGAATATGCAACGGTAGAATTTTCAGGAAGGGGGAAGCGGCCAATCAAAGGGCTGCCATTCAACAGACACCCAATGGGGAAAGTCAGGTGGTGATAGTGGGATTCAAGCACACATCCCCGGGGTGATAATGTGGTAATGTTACCACTGGGCCAACACCACCCTAAATAAATAATAGAGGTTTACTCACAGGACTATCGTATGTTATACAGAAACACTGAAGCTGTGATTGGTGTGTCAAATGGTTTGAAGATACAGACACATCGTCTAAACCTTCTCCGATCTATGTACGGTGCATCATGCGACCACCACATCTCATTTCTTTAGCAAACTTTGCAGCATCAACATTTACAGAAAATAAGATGTTTCAACATCCGTTGACCACAGAATATTCCGATCCTTTTTGATCTGACTCGTCTAAAGTGGTATGGATAAAGATTTTGCTTCAAGGCTGAAGAACTACGGGATTTTGGCTAAAGCATTGCAAGTTTTGGCTTAAGGATTACAGGTCGAGGTTAAATGACTGAGGGTTTTGGCTAAACCTCAATGAGAAAAGATTAATTACTAATACAATTGAAAATACTAATGTTCTTCCTAATTCAGTCATAAATGAAGATTTTGGGGTTTGCATGGGGTATAGTCGGGGAAATGTGAAATGAAATTCACCGAAAAAATAGTACTGATCTTCCGGTGTGTTGGCAATGGATTAAAAGAAATTTTTTTTCGTAAACCCGATGTGGTACAATACAAATAGAAAATAAAACAATTTCTCACCCTTTTTCAATGTACACTGGAAGAGCTCCGGACAAATAACCTTGGACATTCAAGCAGTAGCATATAATTTAAAAATCGAAAAATAATCAAGGAATATTCTGAATAACTTTCGAAAGCAATGTAACACACGCATGTGTAATTCACGTACTTCTCGGTACTTTATGTCAGCATGAGGAATGCTTCAAAAAATACTCGCTCTAACATCTCTATTTTGTTGCACGATGATGCTTGCCATCAACTTGATTCCATCATGCAATTTGTATTCCTATGACCCAGGCACTGATACTTCTCGCCAATATACATACAATGCCCCCTCAACCTCGGAATTCATTGAGGCGGTTCGCAAAGTCAAGTTTGCATTCAACACCAACGAGGCCATCAGACCGTACACACCAGATCGAACATCGAAAAAAATTTTCATACGTTTATTCAACACAGTACATTGGTTAGATGAGGTGTGTAAAAGTGGTTGTATGCCTGAGTACCACGCGGAGATGGTCAGTGATGTGGTCGAGCCATTGTTGAACGACGACACAATTCGAGCGATCATGGAACGTTTGGCTCCAAGGAAACAGGAATTTTGGCGAAGTTTGGGTAAAGCATGGAACACACCCAGGTGAGTTTTTTTTAACCGATTCAAACAAGGAGATCTTCCAGATAATCTGGAGACGCATTTTTTGTTCAAAGTAATGGTAGGTTGTAGAACAAGGTGATTGAAAATGAAATGGATGAGCTAGATCGAGCTGTTGCAATAGACTCGGAAGAGATTAAAGTTTTTGTAAGAAAATAGTTAATGTGTGGTAAAAGTCTGTTTCCAGGAGGTACTGTCGATATATTTTTTAAGTGCACCGGACACGAATCCCATTTGCGAAGGGAATCACGGGCGTTTATACATAAACCTGAACCAATCAGATTGCTCGGTCTGCAAAATTAAAGTCTTATACGGACCAATCACAAACACACAATTGATGCGGTAAAACAAACGATCAATTTAAACAACACTTTCTAACACATCCTTCTTCTTTTGAAAGTTTTTCATTGTGATCCTGATTGGTATATCCGTCTACTTCGTGTTCGGGATGAAGACTGTACTGTTATACCCGTCGTCGGTATTTCTCGCTGCGGTTCTTGTACACTTATTTCAACATCCTCCTGAACGGTATTTAAATCTTCTCTTTCTTCTTTTTCGTCGCCATTCTCTTCCATTTTCCGCAAATGAAATATATTTCTCCGTATTACCCGTTGCCCACCACTAATATGCACTTACTATTCTTATCTGTTTGTTAGCACAGATGAAAATTAGGGTTCCCTCAGATCGCATGTATTCATTATATGACGAGTTACATCACAATTACCACGGGTCCCATGCCATATGGAATGTTTTTGTACTGTATGGAGGTTTTGCTTCCCGATGGTCCAGGCCGAAGAAAATCTTTGACTTTCGCATCCCAAATCCAAGCCCGTATTTGATAAATCAAGCCAGCATGAAAGCAAGACGAAGCTTGAGATTTATTATCGATTGAAGACCTTTAAGGTTCCCCTTTTGGATGAGAGCAAATGTTCAGGCTGCCCAATACCCTGCAATGACCAAACGAGCCAGTGCTCGTTGACTAAACAGGTGTAAGTTTGTTTCGTATCCCTGTTCTTGGTTGTTTTCAATCGAGATTTTTGCGACCTGCGTCAAGTGAATCATTGTTGGTCCACCAAATTGTTTGTAACCCCAAACATTCGTGTTGGTCCTTTCAGATAAGTAGGAAGTAGGAAGCACTCATACCGTATGCAGGCATTCAGGTAGGCTTCCTTAGCAGAGACTATTTAAGACACTCGGTCGTATTGGAGAATAGTACGAATTGTAAAGATCACAACTCAATAAATGTATCCTCAACCAAAATGAGGCTTTCATAAACTGCGTGTTGGAATGCAATCCAACGGAATGACGGCAATTTTACCAATGCATGAAAATCCTACAGAACATATCGAAAAGAGACCCCCGCAGCAGTATCTTGCGCTCGCTGAAACTAACGGTCTATTTTACCATAACCCGGAGCATAATCGCGTATTGGGAATGTCAACCAAACAATTAACATTGTGCATCTCGCTTTAACAATCAATGTACAAGTGTCTGAAGGCTTCAATCATGAAAGTTCGGTAATTGAACGATGGCTTATCGCACATATGTTTGCCTGGGATTTCGGGTTGGGGCACAAATTTATTTGCATTTAGACTTCCGTAAATCAAACAACAATTTAGATTTTAATCAAACCGTGGTCGGTGTGAAACTCATCGACCATTGCACAGAAATATGTTGAACGAAAAAGAAACAGAAAGAAACAACTAAAAAAAGATTAAAAGGTTTTCCTATCCACTCACTTGAAACTTTTACCTCGTAAACGTGTTCCCGATCGGCGACGCTGTAGACTCGTCATCGGTTCCAATGATAGAGTTATTCCACATTATGGAGTTATGCTAGCCCCACGAGAAGAACTCATTTGGATAAAGCAAGGTTGAAACGTCACGTTATAAAAATTAAAAGGTGACTTTGCTTTCTCGTGTAAACCTCTCCTCTTCTAGTTCCCATGCTTTCATCTTTCTTCTATAACTTCTCTCTCTTATGCTATTCTTTCTCTATAAAGGAGATCATAAACAATTCGTGAAAATGGGTCATGAGTTTTAGACTGAGTAGCGAATGGTTATGACTTAGGAGAAGATGTCTCCTGTTTCCGGAACCGCCGAGAAAACAGTTAGCAGTCATTATGCATATATAACTTGTAAAGACAATTGCATCTCACTGCTGCCGATGATAGCCTCGGGTAAGATAGAGAGTTTACTGTGGCCAGAACGATCAAGTGCCCTGCCTTATAATATGGCTGCTAATCATTAATTGGGAAAGTAGGATGGTAGCAGCAGGGTTTAAACTCAAAAATCTTGGGAGAGTATACTAACGGTCTAAAATACCGGACGATAACACAATCACACTATTAGACAAGATGCGGCCGTAGGAGAAAATCAAACGTCTTTCGAAACGGTACCTTGGACTTGGACTGACCAGTGTAATTTAAACAATAAATATCATTCGAGGGAGTTGTACTTTTGACACTCAGTTAAACTTCAGCATATCTTCTTCTTGTAATGCCGTATTTTACTTGTCTGTACACGGAATGTTGGCTTGTCGGCGGTTATTACACAGTACGCACTTTTACACACGGAATCGGTGCAGACAGGATACCGCACCCTACTGAAGAGGGAGGATTTTATTCGGCTTATGTGATTGTTTTCTCCCTATATTAATGAATGAAAATACCTGGTTCCGGTATTCTTGCGATCTCCCCCTGAGGCTCCCGAAATAAAAATTAACAGAGGAACATCTTGGTCAGAATCGGAGCTAGAACCTCGGGAGGGAATCTGTCCATTCCTTTGGTTCTTCACAACCATGTGGCAGAGTCATTCTACGTATCCCCATGCATTTAGTCGAAGAACAAGAACATTATATAGAAAATACAAGGAATAAAAACAATAAATCCATTGTGCGCAAGTCATGAGACTGCATTTTCATGTGGTTCAGATTACTCAATCAGGTCCTGCCATAGCGGAGTAACAAATGGTCCAAATAATGTTCCTCAAGATGTGCACTAGGTAAAACAAAAACGAACC